ATATGGCTATCAGCCTCTTCCCAGTAGAGTTAAATCAAGGAAAAGCTTAATGAGAACCACAACTCCTCTTAATGTTCCTCCAGCAACAGTAAGAATATCCTTCTGTGCAGCTAAATCAGGAAATCTCAATTGGATGCCCACACCCTACAAAGGTCTTCCTCCAGGGGCAAACCAAGAATGGGAAACTTGGAAGTCCCTGAATAGACTCAGAAGTGGAGAGGGCAGATCAAAAGACAACCTGGCAAAATGACACAACCAAGAAGTATCCTCCACCTTGTTCGACTGTGGAGCAGAACAAACAACTCTACATCTGTATGCTTGCCCACAATGCCCTGCCTCATGCACAGAGGAAGAATTGTTTAAAGCTACAATGTTGCCCGTTGCTGTTGCCCGTTTTTGGTCTAAAACTATCTAGCCGCTTGTGTTCCCTTTATTTTATCAGTTTTAGATAAACTATTTTATGTGATGCTTTTGAAATAAAAAATATTAAAAACAGTGGGTTTTGCTTTGACTCAGAAATTTGCATGGCTATTTTGAGATCACCACTCTACCTATGCTGTCTTAAATATAAGGTTCAAAACTGTGCATTGCACAATTGCATAAGACGAATTATACGGATCACAAATTTCAGCACCCTGGGAATTTCGTGTTTTTATTTATTTTATTTAAAAAATCAAGTTTTTCCCATCCTGCAAGCAGAGATAGTCTTTACACATGAAAGCAATGATTGGCAAGATCTCAGAATCCAGTTAGAATTTCTAATTGTCACAAAGATTGGGTTGCTGTGAGTTTTCTGGGCTGTATGGCCATGTTCGAGAAGCATTATCTCCTGATGTTTTGCCCACATCTATGGCAGACATCTTCAGAGGTTTTGAGGTCTGTTGGAAACTAGGCAAGTGGGGTTTGTATATCTGTGGAATGGGATAAAGAATTCTTGTCTACTTGAGGCAGGTGTGAATGTTGTAATTGGCTGCCTTGATTAGCACTGAATAGCTTTGTAGCATCAAAGCCCAGCTGCCTGCTGCTTGGGGATCCTTTGTTGGAAGGTGTTAGCTGGCCCTGATTGTTTCCTGTCTAAAATCTCCCTGTTTTCAGAGTGTTTTTCTTTATTTATTGTTCTGATTCTAGAGTTTTTAATATTGGTAGGCAGATTTTGTTCATTTTCATGGTTTCCTCCTTTTTGTTGAAATTGTCCACATGCTTGTGGATTTCAATGGCTTCTCTGTGTAGTCTGACATGGTGGTTGTGAGAGTGGTCCAGCATTTTTGTGTTCCCAAATAATATGCTATGTCCAGGTTGGTTCATCAGGTGCTCTGCTATGGCTGACTTCTCTGGTTGAGTCAGTCTGCAGTGCCTTTCATGTTCCTTGATTCGTGTCTGGGCTATGCTGCATTTGGTGGTCCCTATGTAGACTTGTCCACATCTGTATGGTATCCCGTAGACTCCTGCAGAGGTGAGAGGATCACTCTTGTCTTTGGCCATACAGCTTAGAAAACTCACAGCAACCCAGTGATTCTGGCCATGGAGGCCTTTGACAACACATTGACACAAAGACATTGCCTCAAGATTTTGAATGTCTTTTTGCCTTTGACTTGAAGAAAATGAAAACTATTCAAAACAATTATAGGCAAGTTTGTATAAGGCAGATGTTGCAGCTCAGTGGCCACTTTTATGCTCCAGGACTCTTTGGGAACGTCACAGATTACTTAACAAGGCAAAAATCCCAAAGTGGCTGGAAACCCATTTCTAGTAGAGTCCCCGTTGGTGTAAAGGGTTAAACCCTTGTGCTGGCAGGACTGATGACCAAGAGGTCAGTGGTTCGAATCCAAGGAGAGTGAGTTAAGCTCCCTCTGTCAGCTCCAGCTCCCCATGCGGGGATATGAGAGAAGCCTCCCACAAGGATGGCAAAACATCAAACATCCAGGTGTCCCATGGGCAACATCCTTGCAGACGGCCAATTCTCCCACACCAGAAGCAAATTGCAGTTTTTCAAGTCGCTCCTGACATGGGAAAAAAGCAACATTTCCGCTTCTCAACAATAGGTAGTTTTTTTCTTGTTTTGCTTAAAAGGAGGCAGATTATTTATAAGGCAAAATTTTATGCCTAGTGTCTTTCCATTTTCTTTTTCTTTTGGGACAGAAAAAGGCAATATGGGGATTCTGGAGGTGCTGAGGACAACAAAGCATATTTGAGGGACACATGAACCCAAAAGTCATGCTTTACCCATCCCTGGAATAAGGCATTAGAGGGCACAAAACTGAAGTTTCTACAGAGCAGAGTTTGTTTTTGCCGTAACATGCATTCTTTTTTAAAATGTCCTTTTGTGCAATTCTCTGCATGTTTACTCATATTTTAAAACAGACTCACAGTTCCCCATCCCTGGTGCTCATTGGTACTGAATACTGGGTTTGTGTGCAACTTTCATAACATACGAGGGATATTTTTTAAGTAAGGTCCGTTTTGTTGTAGACACTAGTAGTTTGCGCGCATACCGCAACGAGTGCGTACGTCGTGTACCGGCATGCCTCGGGAACAAGTGTGCTCAGTTTCCGCTCTGTAGCTAACCTGTACGGTTCTGTTCTGTGCTTTAAAAATGTTTAAGACTATCAACTCACCCTCCGCATGTGAGGTTCGCTCAGTGATACGGTTTTTGTCAGCAAAGAACCTGCCTGCTGCAGAAATTCATCGACAGATTTGTGAAGTGTACGGTGATACTGTTATGAGTGAAAGCAAAGTGCATAAGTGGGTATGACAATTCAAGGATGGCCGTGACAACGTCCATGATGAGGACCGCTCCGGTCGCCCTTCTTTGATTACAGACGATATGGTGGCTTCAGTTGAAGCGAGGATTCATGAAGAGGGTATTTTAAAATTGGTTCAGAGGTATAATAAGTGTTTGAACAATCTTGGCAGCTATGTCGAAAAATAGGGTGAAGTATGTACTTTCTGAAAATAAATTTACTTTTTTGAAATAAACTTTCGTTGTGTACTTTTTTCAAATGGACCTTACTTAAAAAATACCCCTCGTATAATAGCAGCTCTGTATACTGTAACCTCAGGATGACTCTATTTCTTGTTTAACTGGAGTACCCTCTTCTGTGTCTGGATCAGTGTTGGTCCCTTTAAAGTGGACTCTCTGGTGGCTGGCCAGGTGGGAGTTCTGGTTGAACTTCTTTCCGCACTCAGGGCACTCGTAGGGCTTCTCCCCTGTATGGATCCTCTGGTGCTTGTTCAAGTCCGAGTTGCGGACGAAGCTCCGTCCGCACTCAAGGCACTTGAAAGGCCTGTCCCCTGTGTGCATCCGCTGGTGGGCCAGGAGGGCCGAGCTGTAGCTGAAGGTCTTCCCACACAAGACGCATTTATAACGCCGGTCCTCCTGGTGAGATTTCTGGTGGACCAGGAGCTGCTGGGTCATGCGGAAGCTGGCCGGGCAGTCAGGACATGTGTGGAGCTTCTCCGTGTGGGTCTTTAGGTGGCACCTGAGGTGGGACTTGTGGCCGAAGCGGCGGTCGCACTCAGTGCAGATGTAGGGCTTCTCGCCCGTATGGGTCCGCTGGTGGGCAGAGAGGTTGGAGCTGGTGCTGAAGCACTTCCCACAGTCCCGGCACTTGTAGGGCTTCTCTCCTGTATGGGTCCGCTCGTGGGCCCGCAACTGAGAGCTCTGCCGGAAGCCTCGGTTGCAGAAGGAGCACTTGTAGGGTTTCTCCCCGGTGTGGATGCGCCAGTGCTTGATCAAAACCGAGCCTTCGCTGAAGCACCGCCCGCAGTTCGAGCAGGCGTACGACTTCTCCCCCGTGTGGGTCCGGCGGTGCACAATGAGAGCTGAGCTGGTGTTGAAGCTCTTCCCGCATTCGGTGCATTTGTACGGCTTCTCCCCCGTGTGGAGGCGTCGGTGGGTCAAAAGGCTGGAGCTGTGGCGGAAGGATTTGGTGCACATGTCGCACTTGAACGGCCGGTGTTCCAGGTAGATCCCCGAGGGGCCGTTCTCCTCAGGTTCCTCCAAGGCATCCCCAGGTTCCTCCTCTAACAGCATCTCAGGGAGTTCTCCAGGATCCACTGTTGTAGGATCCATTGGCTGGGGAGTGTCCTCTTCATTTTCTTCCTTGATACAGTTTTCACCTGTAAGAATTTAAAAAGTCTGTCATAATTCATTCATTCATGCTCCACAATGTCAAAATCCATGTGAAATATGTGTGTGTGTGCACGAGAGTCATCTAGGCAAGGCAGACAAAGTGGAATGGAGCTGCCTCAGCCCATTTTGTGGTCTCCCAAATCTCATTTTAGTCCCATTTCCCCCGAATGTGTAAGTATAACCCCTGCCTCAAATGTGTAAGGGGCATTTACACCACATTTTGGAGGGGGCACTGGACTAATTTAGGACCTTGAGAAGACTTTTATTGTTTCTTAAGGATCCATCTCATCCAGCGTATTCTTTTTTGAATTATTTCCATTTGGCAGATGGTACAGTGTGACAAAGACAAGGACAAACAGACAGAGATAGCTTTTATCCCAGAGCTGTAACTTTAGGATCCGATATGGTTTTAAAAAACTGATTTTAAAGTAGATATAACTGATTTTAGTGCTTATATATATTTATAGTTTATTTTATGTTCTTGCATTGAATATTGTTTATTTTATGTTCTGGCATTGAATGTTTGCTGTATATATGTTGTGCTCCGCCCTGAGTCACCTTCGGGGTGAGAAGGATGGAATATAAATGTTTAAATAAATAAATAAATAATATATTGCTTCTGGAACATAGCCATACAGTCCAGAAAACTCACAGCAACCCAGACATCAATATGCACCAGTGCTTTGCGATTTATGGAATAACCATCCTATGTAATCATCCATGTAATCATCTGCACAACAAAACCACTTTCTTCAATACCAGTTTGAAACTGCATTAAATATTCAGTGTTGATGGGACTAAGAGAGGTTAGACTGGCAGCCTTCCTGCTAGTCTTCCATCAGCAGCTGAAGAAGAGCTTTTAGCTTCAGCAGGATGATTGCTCAGGGGGAAATTGTCTTTCATAACATGCATGTAATTTATTTATTGTCTTATTTAAACAGTCCTGCTTTTAATTTGAGCTCGTTAGCGGACAAACAAGACAAGATTATAACAGAGAATCAAAATGCTTTTAAAACTAGCAGTAAAACAGAGGTGCAGTTACGGCTTTTCATAAAACACAGCTGAAATGAGAAACGCAGAATACAAAACTGCAAGCAATCAACCTGGGAATAATATCTAGATCAGCCTTTCTCAACCTCAGGGTCGGGACCTCGGGTCGGGGGGGTGAACCGAGTGGGTGTCAGAAGGGTTGCCAAAGACCACCAGAAAACACAGTACTTTCTGTTGGTCATGGGGGTTCTGTGTGGGAAGTTTGGCCCAATTTAATCGTTGGTGGGATTCAGAATGCTCTTTTGATTGTAGGTGAACTATAAATCCCAGCAATGACAACTCCCAAATATCAAGATATATTTTCCCCAAACACCACCAGTGTTCACATTTGGTCATATTGAGTATCTGTGTCAAGTTGGTCCAGATCCATCATTGTTTGAGTCCACAGGGCTCTCTAGATGTAGGTGAACTACAACTCCAAAGCTAAAGGTTAATGCCCACCAAACCCTCCCAGTCATGGGAGTTCTGTGTGCCAAGTTCGGTTCAATTCCATCACTGGTGGAGTTCGGAATACTCCTTGATTGTAGGTGAACTATAAATCCCAGCAACTACAACTCCCAAATGACAAAATCAATCCCTCTCCCAACCCCACCAGTATTCAAAGTTGGGCATATCGGATATTTGTTCAAAATTTGATCCCATGAATGAAAATACATCCTGCATATCAGATATTTACATCACGATTCATAACAGGAGCAAAATTCCAGTTATGAAGTAGCAATGAAAATAATTTTATGGTTGGGGGTCACCACAACATGAGGAACTGTATTAAGGGGTCGCGGCATTAGGAAGGTTGAGAAACACTGGGCTAGATAAATTAGGAATAGGGACAGCGTATTCAGTAGAGAAACAAACATGCATAAATAAAAATACGCTAGAAACACAAGAAGAACCTCAAAAGGAAAAAGTAAACGATGAAAAAAACTCCTCACATTGTCAATAGCTTTATTACATAATCACAGGTTGAGCATCCCTTATCTGAAAACCCTCCTAAATCTGAAATCCTGCATTTGGTTGGCTGAGACAGAGCCACCTTTGCTTTCTGATTTGTAGTCTGGTGAGATGTTTATCTAGGGATGCATCTGCACTATAGAATTAATTCAGTTTGACACCACTTTAACTGGTATGGGAGTTTTGCCTTTATGTAGCCAACCAATTAATCACCAAAAGGACAACTCCCAGAATAATGCTGAGCCATGGCAATGAAAAGTGGCGTCAAACTGTTGACCTCATCACACTAGAGAATGAATCCACTTTAAATCCGGTTTCTGCCTCCTGCAGAATTCTGGGGTTTGTAGTTTTTGGGAGGTGCCTTTAACAGCCTCACTAAACTACAAAGCCCTGAATTCTGCAGGAGGCAGGAATGGGGTTTTTAAGTGGATTACTCATCGTGTAGATGCATCACAACAAACCTCCAGTTCCAGCATCCCATAAAATGTAGCCATGGCAACTGAAGTGGTATTGAACTGCTATAACAGTGCAGCGGCCTGCCATAGATGCAGGCGGAACGTCAGGGAGAATGCTTCTAGAACATGGTCATATAGCCCGAAAAACCTACAACAACACATGGATTTAAAGTGGATTACTCATCGTGTAGATGCATCACAACAAACCTCCAGTCCCAGCATTACATAATACGTAGCCATGGCAACTGAAGCGGTATCAAACTGCTATAACAGTGCAGTGGCCTGCCATAGATGCAGGCGAAACGTCAGGAGAGAATGCTTCTAGAACATGGCCATATAGCCTGAAAAACCTACAAAAACGCATGGATTTAAAGTGGATTACTCATCGTGTAGATGCATCACAACAAACCTCCAGTCCTAGCATTACATAAAATGTAGCCATGGCAACTGAAGTAGTATCGAACTGGTATAACAGTGCAGTGGCTTGCCGTAGATGCAGGCGAAACATCAGGAAAGAATGCTTCTCGAAAACGGTCATACAGCCCGAAAAACCTACAACAACGCACGGATTTAAAGTGGATTACTCATACTGTGGATGCATCGCAACAAACCTCCAGTCCCAGCATTACATAAAATGTAGCCATGGCAACTGAAGTGGTACTGAACTCATGTAACTGTGCAGTCTGCAGGATACATATGCAAAATTCCCTAAAATCCAGAAGAAAGAAAACAAACCCCAAAATCCTAAACACTATTGGTCCCCAATCATTTTGGATAACTAAGCAGTGCAATCCAGGATGGATCCACACTGATATATAATGCAGTTCCAAACTGCGTTTATATAGCAGTGTAGACCCATGTCCTAGGTATTTTGGCATTTCCCCCCTTGCTACCTAGATCCCAGCCAAGAGACCCTCCAGTCCTTAAATATAAATAAATTGCAACATAATTATAAATATTCCAAAAAATATTCAGCGATGGCTTGCAAAGAGCTCCTCCTCCAGCCCCATCTCCAGCACTTACCAGGCTCCATGGCTTTGTAGGCGCATTTATTTTTGTTTATCTCTCTCTCTCTATTTATCTTTTCACCCTAGAGCTAAGTCTCCTCCCATCTCATAGACAGACTGCCAGGATGCCTTCCTATGGCTATTTGTGTTGCCCCCTCCTCCTCTCTCTAAGCACTTTGGGAAATGTAGTCTCAATGGAGAGAGACTTTCTGGGAATTGCAGCTCCAGTTTGGGCTTAGCCTTAGCTGGAAACCATCAGCAGGGACTGGAGACAACTCAGGGGGCATCCATACTATGGAATGGATGCGGTTTGATACCGTTTTAACTTGGCATGGCTCAATGCTATGGAATCCTGGGAGTTGTAGTTTTGCAAGGCCTTTAACCTCCTCCAAGCAACTCTCTTGATGGGTTGTTGTAGGTTTTCTGAGCTATATGGCCATGTTCTAGAGGCATTTTCTCCTGACGTTTGGCCTGCATCTATGGCAAGCATCCTCAGAGGTAGTGAGGTCTGTTTGAAGTAGGAAAATGGGTTTATATATCTGTGGAATGACCAGGGTGGGACAAAGGACTTTTGTCTGCTGGAGCTAGGTGTGAATGTTTCAACTGACCGCCCTGATTAGCATTTAATGGCTTGGAAGTGCCTGGGGGAATCTTCCTTTGAGAGGTGATTTGATGTGCCTGATTGTTTTACTCTCTGTTGTTTTGCTGTTGTAATTTTTGAGTTTTTTAATACTGGTAGCCAGATTTTGTTCATAATCACTCTCTTGATGATTATTATATTATATTATTATATTGTATTGTTTATTATAAGTATATTATATTATATTATATTATATTATATTATATTATATTATATTATAAAATTATAGAATCATAGAGTTGGAAGAGACCTCATGGGCCATCCAGTCCAACCCCCTGCCAAGAAGTATTATATTATATTATATTATGTATTATACTATATTATAGAATCATAAAGTTGGAAGAGACCTCATGGGCCATCCAGTCCAATCCCCTCCCAAGAAGCATTATAATCACCTCTCAACAAAAGTTTGCTGTAGGCACTGTCAAGCCATTATATGCTAATCAAGGTGGTCAGTTGAAACATTCACACCGAGCTCCAGCAGACAAGAGTCCTTTGTCTCACCCTGGTCATTCCACAGATATATAAATCCCTTTTTCCTAGTTCCAACAGACCTCACTACGTCTGAGGATGCTTGCCAGAGATGCAGGCGAAACGTCAGGAGAGAATGCCTCTAGAACATGGCCATATAGCCCAAAAAACTACAACAACCCAGCATTATATTATATTATATTATATTATATTAATTATATATTATATTATATTCTTATATTATAGAATTATGTAATCATAGAATTGGAAGAGACCTCATGGGCCATCCAGTCCAACCCCCTGCCAAGAA